CAGGCCAGATGATTTCTACCTTCCCTTCCAACTCCTAGGATCCTTAAGATTCTCTAATTTTAGGTTCATGAGCTCAGTAAGAGTTATAATCATTATAACACTTCCAGACGATACTGGAAGCCTATTTCTCCATTGTCAAGCATTCAAATACATTTGGTGGTTTAATACAATGTATACAAAAACTGGTCTGAGTAAATAAAATCTCACACAATTATATTTTTTTCAAATTTAAGAGTTGTTAAAAGTTTAGTTCAGATCATATTTCTGCATATATATATGCGATGACTAATCCCAGCCTAAGAGCTAAAAATACAAAACTCTTATCGAAATCAGGTGTGCAATAAACAAATAAACTCATTCATTGCTTACCTGAAAGTCAAGGAAATGTGGCAAAGAAAACTATATATAACAAGCCAATATTACAGTCTATCTACACAATAACTCATCTACTCCTTCCATCTTTATAAGGTGAAAAAATGAGTTTAAAATTTAAAGCAGAGACAAGATGTATTAACCTGTAAAAATGGTTCTTCAACTGTGTGCCTTTAAATTAATAGAAAAAAGAGAAACTCAGTATTAAAATAGATAAAGTATATATCACTATGTTTATGTAGTAGTTGTAGCCAAGGTCCCTAAACAGAATATTGTCCAGTGGTGCCAAGGGGGTCGTAATAGTATCAAGAAGTATTAGATTCAGATTTCAAGTTCTGGTTGAAAAAAAGATAATATTTTATTTGTTTTTAAACTAAGCTAAGGTCTTAAACTAAGCTCTTAAAATCAGAAATATTCTTTAACAGCCACCCTCCAGAGTTGAGGGGAGTTTTTGGAAAAAGGAGACAAAAAAGCATTGAGAAAGATAACATTTTCTAGAGAACTCTGCTAATATTAGAATTAAATGTTTTAATTAGATAGTAATTTACTTGCTTTCTTGTACGTTGTGTCATCTTCTCTAGTTTGTGTTGTTATAGTTCTGCATGTGAAATAACAAAAACATAGAATATAAGATATTCTTGATAATAATAGACTAAAATCTAAAAGGTACAGTTTATGTTCTTGGAAATAAAATGATAATCAGCCCATATCCAGCCTCTTCAAATAGAAGCAAAGGGATGTACTGGGGGTAGGGTGAGTCAACGCTGTTTATACAGGTTTTCACATGACTTTTCTTTTAAAAAGTGTATGGAATACATCCAAAACAAATACTGTTTTGTTAGATGAGAAGACCAAAAGGGAAATCCTAGAGAAAGGAGGATGGATGATCTTTCTTTAATGTCAAAACTGACAAAAACACATCCCCTCCCCCGCACTTTGCTCAAGATAATTTTCTCAACAAGACCCAGATTGCTTCAAGTCTTTGCCTATCACCCTTTGAAGCACTTTCCTTATTATTAGGAGTGGGGGCAGGGTTTCCTTTGAGGATTTTTACAGCAGTGAAGAGTTCCTCCTTTAAATACTTTCACATGATGAGGGAATTCCGCTCTCAAAGTGCTGTCATCACTGTGGCTTCTCTGTCATAAGACAATTTATTCTTGGGTAAAGGTCCTTCTTAGTTTGTCAATAGGACTTACCTTTCTGTTGGATTCTCTTTCTATAGAGCTTCTCTTTTTCTGAGAGATGTAGCAAAAGAACTCAACATTCTCCTTTGTTAACCTTATTGATGAAGTTGACCGTGATTCTCTTTTGAAATGTGTTCCATACAGGAGGTTACAGACTTCAACATGGCTCTCCTTGTCAATCTGCCACCAATTAAGATGTGGGTGACATATCCAATATTCCATCTTGAAAACTGTATTCCTTCTACAGTGCAAAGGGACACTGTGAATTTTGGGATGTTTGGTGTCTCTTCCAGTGCTTTTTTTTTTTTTTTTTTTTTTTTTTGGCGATACGCGGGCCTCTCTCTGTTGCGGCCTCTCCCGTTGCGGAGCACAGGCTCCGGACGCGCAGGCTCAGCGGCCATGGCTTACGGGCCCAGCCTCTCCGCAACATGTGGGATCTTCCCGGACCGGGGCACGAACCCGTGTCCCCTGCATCGGCAGGCGGACTCTCAACCACTGTGCCACCAAGCAAGCCCTCTTCTAGTGTTTAAATAGCACCATGGTAAACAACAAACTATTCAAGTGTCAAAACAGTTTTCTCAGAAACATTGAAATCTTTTGAGAACCTTTACTCCATGTCATCCCACATCACCCTGCTCAACTCTTGAATGTGGTCTCCTGGAAAATTTTATAAATATTTAATTCATGGATGCAAAATGTATAGCTGTCTGGTTTCATAGCTTATTTGAAAGCAGTTCCTTTCCCTCCCCAAAATCTTTAGTAGGCAGTGATTCACAATTATTAGGAAAGAATTAGAATTAAGAAACCCCAAATAGAATTGACAGTTTTCTCAATATTATTGCCTAAGGGTGTGCTTCTAAGTCTTCCTGGCTGTTTTAGATAAATGAATAAAAAACTTATCTATATCCCAAGCTACATTACATGATTTATATCATTACCCTTGGACTTTCCTTTGAACAGTTTGGTCTTTAGAAAGTGAGAGAATAGGTATTGTGGGGTACATTCATTATCCGTTTCCACCTAGAAGCTCTTAAGTGCAACAGTGTATCTATCAACTAATCCAGACTGGCCGTAAACATATTTCTTAAAACCTTCAGCTTCCTTCCTGCCAGAGTGTTCAAATGATTGACCTCTCAGCCTTTCACTGAGGAAAAAAGTGGAACATAAGAAGAGAGCCCTAGACTAAATCAGAATACTCAGATTCTATTTTTGGCTCTGCCACTTCCTGCCTGAGTAACATTGGCAAGTAACTTGTCCTTCTGCTCCCCCATCCCTCTCCCCCAAAAACCCGGTAAAGTGAGTGACCTAGATGATCATCAATGTGTTTTTACTACCTCAAGTAAATAATAAGGTTATTTCACCTACATAGTGAGGCTTAATTATAGTAAATGAGCCAAAACGGAAAGTCCAGTGAGAAAGTAGCATTGATATTCCTTAATCTGGTCTTGTAAAGAAGGAGTATGATTATATTCTTTCCTTCTTCTATGGGACTCTGTGGTGTACTGTAATTATTCATCCCACTTTCTTATTTAAAGTTAGTGGAAAATCCGTTTAATAAACATTTCAGCTGTGCCTTTGTGCTGTACACCATGGTAGGCTGTGAGTATACTCAGGTCAGCGCTTTCAAAATGCTCACCAGCTAAGCAGGGAGAAAGCATGAAAACAAATCACAAATCTAGTGTGATGAATAGAACAAGATAAGTATACCTAAGATGCAGAGGTAGCATGGGAAATACATATATATTTCTCCGTACCTATTTTAAATTCTAGAAATAGGAAAATGTGGATGTGGTGGAGGGAGGGAGGTAGCTTTAGGGTAAACTTAAAATAAAAACAAAAACTCCTAACTCTTTACCTGTTTACTACTGAATCAAATATGTCCCGTCATAATATTAGTTGCTATAAACTGTAATCAAATGAGTTAAGACATGGGAGCTTTAAAAAACAAAAACAGAAACAGAATGTTCTCTTTCTTTTCATAGATAAATTATTTTTCAATGTCTTGAAGCATCACCACTAAATTTCTCTTTATCAATGGGTACTTCTGTCATTGAACAAAGAAGAGCACCTAAATGTATCAAGTAATCATTAAAAACCAAATACTATAAGCCAGACTATATTCAGATTCTCTTTGGAATTTAGAAAATGGGGAGAAACAAGTTTTCTTAAGGATACTGATGTTTCTTAGCATAATTAAGTTTTGTGGAATATTATCTTATATAGACAGAGTTAAGGTTTTCCTGGTGATCTGTAGCAATCTCGAAGTCAAATCAAAGAATTGGAAAGTGTTTAAACTCTGGGTGTTAAATCTAGCACTACCAAAGCTATGTTGTTGCATAAGGGGGGGAAGGGGAGCTTGGGGGAGTTTAGTGTAAAAACTTGCCTGAGCTAATTTGTTTTGTTTGAAACTGGAAATCATATTGTGGAAATTTGCATTCTGTTTTCTTTCAAAAGGTGTATTAACACAAGGCACTCAGTTTTTAAAGGGCTTCCTCCTTTCTATAGGAAAAATTTGGCTTCTGAAAAAGGAAAAAAATTGCACAAGCAATTCAGCAACATTGCACCTCTTTCATCATTTTGAGGATACAGGCTTCAACTCAGTAACTCCAGACATATTTTCTGGAAACATGTAAAAACATGCCCATAAGTACTGAACATAAAACCTGACTGTATACCCATAAACATGTGTACAGTCTTATGGTCTACTTACCACTGGGTTTCTTAAAGCCATGTGCATATTTTAAAAATCCCTAGACTAAATGAAAATTGGAACAAGATGCTATTTGAGAGAAGGCGCTACCCAGAGATGCCTGAGGAACACTGCTCTGTGACTCTCCTATGAAGTAAGCAAGCCTCTTGCCCATCAATAGATAGAACCTATGCTTTCCAGATAACCCCTATCCTGAGAAATTAGATTAAGATGGAAAAAACAGAATTAAAAAAAATATATTTTAACCATCCAAACTGAGTACTAAAAAAACATGGTTCCTAAAGAAGCATGGAATAGTTGAAAAATTAACAGCCAGACCAGTTGGATTGTGTTTTGGAAAACATCACACTGTAAAACTCACAGTGCTTCAGGACCGTGCCCAGTGACTCTGAAGATAAGAGAGAGAAGAGGAAATGGTGATAGAGAGCTTTATAAGTTCAGGGATGCGCTAAAGAAACTACTGGAAGGTCTAAGAGAGTCTCATGAAACATAAAATCCCAATACAACTGTAATCTGAATGTGAGGAAAAGGTTATTCTTAAAAAAAAATAGTTGCATTCTTGCAAAATATATTAACCTTGAGTCTTCGACCTTTTTTTTTTCAGGTTGAAAAAGTTAAGCATGATTCATATACTAAAGATTTCCATTCTGTGCTTAGTATTTCTTTTAAAATTGCATTCTAACCCAAGGATGTGTCTCTCTCTCCTCTTGGTTCTTGTGCTTGCTCTGTCCCAGGTTGGCCTTCATTCCACGATGTGATCAGTTCTGATGCAGTCACATTCACAGATGACTTTTCCTATGGGATGCACAGGGTGGAAACCAGCTGCTCTCAGGTCAGTTAATCCCACCTGAAAATCCAAAATGATGCTCACTCTGCATTGCAAGTACTTTCAAGACTCCTGGTTGTACTAGATATAGCAACTAAGGCCAAGTGCCCCATCACAAAAGGGACAAACACAATGAAGTCTCTATCAAGTCCTAATGACATCTCAGTCTTGAGGAGTTTAGCAAGTCCACTTAAATGTCAGTCATTGGCTTCAACACTATTAAACAAAATCATTGGGAGGAAAAATCATCTTCAATTGACTTAATACAGTGGGGAATGGGTCATTCTTAGGGCATGTGAAGATTTCATCACATGGCCTCACATAATCTGTTCACATAATCCCCCTTTCCCTGCAGTTCTGTGCACTCATTGTTCAGTTATAATACCTCTAATGGTAATGATCCCAACATGGTCAACAAAGACCCCAGAAACAGCTCTCCTTGGGTGGATGTGAGGAGGGAGGTTGGAGAGCGGCAGAAGGAAGAGGAAGTTCAGTGGTGGGCTGTATGGGAGCAGAGAGGGTATGTGTGATAAGGTAATTCCTTCTCTACTTCTCCTAGGAATAGGCCTATCCTCATTTCCAAGGATGTTCTAGTTAGTTCCTTCCACCCTGCTCTGACTGAACTAGTGCTGGATCTAAGGGAGAAAATGAACGTGTGTTGAGCAGAAGGCAAAAATATAGTTAATCTGTCATCCCAATCAAGAAATTTGAACTTTTGGGGGTTTTGTGCTTAAGCCCAGAGACATAGCCAGAACCTTCTAGTTCTAGAGCAACTGCACATTAGATAGTCTCTTCTAGTTCTCTAGAACTAGGGCAACTGCACATTTTATTCTAGAGTAGGTAGTCCTGCCCTAATTTGCTTTAAATAAGTGAAATATAAAGTCTGAGTATTGTGGCACTGGAACTCATTGATACTACAGAGTGTTTTGTTGGGGGCTGTCTCTTGTACAGTACATATCAGAGGTAGAGGGGGCACAATCAGGCAGCTGTGATAGCAAAGGGATTGCCACGTGGGCCTCCCTCAGCCTTCTTCCACCTGACCGTTAACCCCCTTCGTCAGGCACATGAGTTTTAGGGAGTAGGTAGCATATTTACTACCAAGTAGGGAAGGAGATTGGTTTGAACCTAACCACCTGATGAATTCCTGTTTTATTTTTTTAAAATAAGGCTGGCAAGTTAACTGTCTTCTAAGTATGAGGACCACTCTCTCCCTTGAAAAGCAGGCTTTATATTTTATCCAAGTCACATTTTCAGTTCACTCTTGTTTCTCAGATCTGAGTCTGAGCAAGATGGTGGTACTTTTTGATCCTGGGTCTCACCCCCAGAGATTCTAATTTAATTGGTTTGGGTGAGGCCTGAACGTCAACATTCTTAACAACTCCCCTGGTAAATGTTCACAATAACCTTATGACTAGATAATGTTATTCTCTCTCATTTTACACTTGAGAAAACGGAGGCACAAGGAGTGCAATTACACTTGTGTAGATATTCATAGATTGAACTGAGACTTGAATTTGGGCAGTTAGCTCCAGAGCTCTTTACAGTGCTCAGTTGGATAAATAAGTAGATAGAGGAGAGGTAGGTAGGTAGGTAGGTAGATAGATAGATAGATAGATAGATACATGTACCACAAAGAGTCATATTGAAATAAGAAAAAAAAAAAAACCCCAAATCCTCTGATCCCTCAGCAGTTAAATTCAATTCAGTTTTAGATTCAACTGAATTTTTATTGATTTTTGTTATAACTGCCACAGAAGCAAATTGTGAATATCTACCCAGGAATCTAAAATACTTGACAAAAGGGACTTCCCTGGTGGCGCAGTGGTTGAGAGTCCGCCTGCCGATGCAGGGGACATGGGTTTGTGCCCCGGTCCGGGAAGATCCCACATGCTGCGGAGCGGCTGGGCCCGTGAGCTATGGCCGCTGAGCCTGCGCGTCCGGAGCCTGTGCTCCGCAACGGGAGAGGCCACAACAGTGAGAGGCCTGCGTACCGCAAAAAAAAAAAAAAAAAAAAAAAAAAAAAATAGTATTAAAATACTTGACAAAAAAGTGAGGTTGGATGGTACACAGTAATTTGTAACTTAGGTACATAGTACTTAGTAAACCTCTCTTAAGGCTAATGGTTGTTTTTTTCTTTCTTTGTTTAACCTGCCTTAAAGGCTGTTATATGACTGCTACTTTCCTCTTCACTCAGAACCCACTTTCAAACATTGAGTTCTATGAAAATCAGATAAAAAAGGGACAGAAAAGGTGGGGCATAAGACAATACCTTTCATTCAGGCCCTACTCTGATGTCTTTGCGACTAATTCTTATAATTCACAGTTAGAATATACTTCCTCCTTTCTCTGTGCCAGCCACTGAGGTAACACCAGTGGGAGTCAAGACAAGACCATTAGGAAGACCAGAGGACTTCAGTGGTCACAGAGACTACAGTGACCAGAGGAATGAAACCCACAGACTGTGCCCAAATTAGGCAACACTCATAACAGATACCAAGCTAACCCAAGCATAGCTCTCAGCCCTTTGGTTAAAGGCCTAGGTGACTGTTACTATTCTTTGGTCCTTTCCTAACAGTTGCGTGAAGAACTAACACTGACTGACCTACTCCATTTCAGCTTCTTTTTCCACCACTTTTATTTCTCACATTAGAAAGTGACCCTTTCTTAAATAAAACTCTTAAATTTAAAGAGAAGAGGGAGGGATATTTGTTCCATTTCTTTCTTAAATTTAAAGAGAAGAGAGAGGGAAATTTGTTCCATGAACGCATGTATAAACAGGCATGCTTTGAGAAGTAAGTACCACGTAGAAAATAATTGGGTTCCAGCCCCAAAGAATATGTTTGCTGGACTCTTTCCTGTGTGGACAGAGTGGACATGTCTGCCCCACAGTGCACTAAGAGCTCACTAAGCTAAAGTGTTCTGGGTGTCTTTCCTTTCAGTTTCTTTGTCTTCTAATTTGTGTTTGACACAGACATTTATTTTCCTCTTGTATTATATTTTTCTTTAGTTTTCTCTTGTCCATTTTCTCATTCATCCTTTTTATCTTGACCCGAGGGAAAAAAACTGATTTAATGGTTTCCATACTAGAGTAACCACTTGTATCTTATTTCCTAGTTTCTCACCCTTAACACTGTTTTTCATTATCAGTTTATCTTCTTTTACCTTCTATTCTTTCAGTTTAGGAAGTCTCTTCTCCTACATGCAACTTCTCCCATCTTTTTTTTTTTTTTCTTTTAAACTTTTGGATGGTGACATGGTATGGCAAAATTGTCTGGTTTGCTTCTCCTCTTTCTAAAATTCTTGTTGTATTTTGAATTCACATGGTTTGTCCTTTTTCTGGACTGCATTGCATGAAAGGGGTTTGTGTTATAAAGAATCTATTAGATGTTTTCAGTATCTTAGAGACATTCTCAGTTGGACATGGTATGTGGAATGCTTCTTTCTTATGGTAAAGATGGAGCATCTAAACACGTAGACCCTTTTACTGCCAACTTACACAAATAAACTGAGCTTCTGTGGATGGAACCAGTAGACTCAACCTGCTTGCCTGGCAATATGGCGATATTTTTTTTTTTTGGTGTATGGGTCTCTAATTCTTGCCTTACTACTTAGGATTTCTCTCCTTCTCCTCCTCCCCTGCCCCTTCTTCTTCATTGTGATATGGATGACACCATGAAGTGAATTAGGCCTCATATTTGGGTAAGAATTCTAAACACATTGGGAGCTGTACCTACCACCTCATTATACTACACTGTAGTTTTTCCATGTGTCCAGTGACTTCTTTTTTTTTTTTAATTTTTTTAATTTATCTTTGGCTGCGTTGGGTCTTCGTTGCTGCGCATGGGCTTTCTCTAGTTGCGGGAATGAGGGCTACTCTTCGTTGTGGTGCGCAGGCTTCTCATTGCAGTGGCTCTCCACTTTGGTGGGCATATGTATCTTCCCCCTGGCTGTAGCAATTTCCTAACAATTTTCAGTTATAAAGAATTTTTCTTAATTTCGTTTAATTCACATTTTTAGTTAGCAATAAAATATATTGCTTCTATTCCACTTTCACTGACTACTATGAGTAATTGCTTGACAGCTTCTTCCTAATCCTCCAACCCCAGCCTGTTAGGCAACACTGTCAGGAATTTAAATTCAGTGCAAAGAGGTAAGATTTGCATGGTTGAAGCTGTAGTTCAGTGAAGTAAGTCTCTCCTGGAAATACTTGGGGAATTCTTCCTTCTTTAGATCAAAATTCTACGTCTGCAGCAAATGGGAGACCAATAAATCACTTAACTTTTTGTAATAATCTTTGAGGAAGAACCCTGAGTTTACCCAAGTTGGACTCTATTTATGACTGCAGCTATTACTGCTTGAATCTATGGTAGAGTCCCTTAAGTTTGTTTTAGATCCTTATTAATTTGTTCTAAGTTAGCCAAATCAACAGAAAGGTAAATATCCACCAATACAAAGCATTTTTCAAGAGATAAGCAGTTTTTGGGCTTCCCTGGTGGCGGAGTGGTTAAGAATTCGCCTGCCAGTGCAGCGGACACTGGTTTGAGCCCTGGTCCAGGAAGATCCTACATGCCGCGGAGCAACTAAGCCCGTGCGCCACAACTACTGAGCCTGCGCTCTAGAGCCCATGAGAGCCCGTGTGCCACAACTACTGAGCCCGTGTGCCACGACTACTGAAGGTTGCACGCCTAGAGCCCGTGCTCCACAACAAGAGAAGCCACTGAATAAGAAGCCTGCTCACTGCAACGAAGAGTAGCCCCTGCTCACCACAACTAGAGAAAGCCGCGCGCAGCCACAAAGACCCAATGCAGCCCCAAATAAATAATAAATAAATAAAATTTAAAAAAAGAGTTAAGCGGTTTTTGGTAAAACCCCAAACCTTATTAATCTTTTGCAGATGACAACTCATATATTGCTGAAGATTAAAGACACCCATGTGTTACAGCAGGATTTCAGATGCACAGCCCCTCTTTTTCTTGATCTTTCAGTAAAATCATAATGCTAAACTGGTGACTTCACAGTCATTTCCTTGGCAAAAGATTAATATCACAAGCACAGAGGAAAAGAGCCCTACTTACACACAAGTGTCTTTGATAACGATGGGAGAAAACAGGATACTACTGGCAAAGTAAATTGCTTTCCTTCTTAAAACTCTTTTCTCCTTCTCATCCTGCCCCTTGTGCCCAAGTGTAAAAGCCCTGCTTTGAAACTGCTTCATCTTGTAGATCAAACACTTAAGAGAAAACGATAATGATAAAACCCCAAACGTCCTAGGAATAGCTGGGAGAAAACCTTCCAGGACAGTTGGAAATATATCAGTGCAGAAATATATAACTGTGTTGAATGCACTATTTGTGTTTCTCATGCACACAATTGAGAATTGCAGTCAGATTTTAAGGAATTATGTTAAATTTGATGCTCAATCACTTTTCTTTTTTTTGAGGGGGGTCCTTTCCCTTGGTTCTCTACAGGTTCTTTAGTTGCCAGTTTTTCTGAGTGAGAGGCTTAGGTGATAAAGGATTCCCGTGGGAATTTAAATTATTTCTTTTGAACAATGCTTATCTCATGCTTCCTCAGAATAAGAGCTGGAAGATTCGGTCATAGTTTGTATTTTACCTGTAAAAGAAAGAAATACATAACCATTTTAAAACAACTTTCAAAATGCACACCAAAGATCGTACCCTGAAATAAATCATTAAGAGCAGGTTTCAGAGATTTCTTCATTGGGCAGCCAGTTTGTTTCAGTTACAACCAGGTGTGCTGAGGGATCCCAGCACACTGCCAGCTGGCTGGGGCCGGGACGCGGAGCTCGCAGGTGGCTAAAGAAACAGTGCATCTGTGACAACTTTCGTTCATCACCGTAGCCTTCCACCAGGGTTAGAAGCTGGAAAGCATGGGCTCCATGGGTGTTCCCCTCAGGGAGGAGCCTTCAGGGATTGTGCACTTTTAAAAGAAACCAGGTACTGGTCTTTTATGGGAGGCTAGGTGCTCCTGGGAGGAAGCAGAAATGGTACTGTGTGGTTAGGCTTCCTTCAGACAAACGGCCTTACAACTTTGCAGGCAACCGGATGGGCATGTATGTGGTGGCACAGATCTAAATGAACACCTTGCTCCTCCCTCAGTTATGTGAGCCTGGAGTGAATCTTCCAGAACACCTTGTGCAGGCATGATGAAGCTATCACTATTGTTTTTAGGGGACCATTACCATTTCTGAGGGTTTCCCTACCCCATCACCAACCCAGATACTTATTTACCAATGATCTTTGTTGCCCTTTCCCCACTATAATTCTTCTTCCTCATCCCGCTCCCTTTTTCTGTTGCCTGGGTCTAGAATCTGTGTTTTTCTTATTGAAATGACTTGTTTCATTGATTCAAATGAAACTGCAGGCCGATAACCAACTCAGTCCAACAGATTAAATTACTCTAATTTGGATTTTTTTTTAATAATTTGGGAAATGAATGATTTGGGAAATACACACTACAAAATGGCTTCAAGTATACCATTGCTATGCTTTATCTTTGTAGTAAGGTAAAGAGAACTGTTTTCTAAATATGCTCAAGATGATTAATAAAGGCGATATCATTTATTTTTGCCCAGATAGCTGTATTCTCTCATTAAAAAAAAAAGAAAAACCAAAAATACTATCTGAGGCTTTTATGTGAAAACGCCACCTCTCAGATGCCAGGTGATTGAAGAGCCGGAGCTGCACATGAGGTCAATAATTGTGCACACGTTCTGGTCACCGAGAGTTCCTGTTGGCCTGCGCGCTGACTCTTTTGGCAGGCAGAAGTAGGTGCTTTCCTGTGTCCGCTGGGTAAGCATGTGTATTTTTACTGGTGCATCTTAGCTGCTGATGCCTGAAAATTTGGTCTCCATTGTTTATAGAAAGGGAAAGCAATCTGAGCTGTCAGCCTTGATATTACCTAAACCTGCATAAAATGTGGTAAAATAATGCAAGATTTGTTTTTCAGGCCTGTTTCATATTTTCCAGGCAACAGATCACATCAGTGCAGGGTTCATTTTTAGTTCTTTAATAAGCTGACACAGTATGTTGGCAGTAAAATAAGAATGCACTTTTCCCATGGAAGTGCCCTCTAGTTGAAGTTGCTATTTGCGCTATTCATTAATAACTAGAGAACCCTCGAAAATTGAATTTAGTACTTTCTATGGGGAAACTGAGATTCTGGTTCTTTCCACTGTAATGAGCACCATCCCTCACTTCTCTCTCATCGTCTCCTGTTTTCCTTCCTTGCAATGTATAAGTGTTTTATACACCAAACGAGCTCAGTGAGAAGAACTAATGAACCATCTGTATGTCTCTTCTCTCACATTCTTGCCTAAGTCTTGACTCCTCCCCATCTGCTTAAGATGCTCTCCCCTGGATATCCGCTCCTTCACTTCCTCCAGGTTCTTATCCCAAAGCCAGCCCGGAAAAACCACCCCTGGCCATCTTACCTAAAATGTCAGCCCCCAACCTGTGTCACTTTCTGGTTTTCATTTTCGTTTTTGTTTTGTTCCTTAGCATTTACTTCCACCTACTGTGCTTTACGGTCCCTAATTTCCTTTGTATTTTCCGTCTCCCCCACTGGAATGTAAGCTCCATGAGGCTACTGCCTGTACCTCCAGAGTCTGGGACAGTGCCTGGCATGTAGCAGACGCTCCATAAATATTTGTGAAATGAATGAACGGGGGTCATTTGCCCCAGGCTTTGGTTTCTTTGTTACGCGACGAACGATGTGTTTTTGCAGCCTGTTTGAATGTGGAGCACTGACGTCCCCATACCCTTCAGCCCTGTTCCTGCTGAGGAGGGTGGGGGACAGGTAAGTGTGGCCTGTGCTCTTATCTCCTGGAGCCGAATCCAGCGGCAGACTAGTTAGTGCGGGCTCTGTTCAGTGAGCCGGGCTTTTTGGAGACACTTTCTCTGGGCTGGATTTCTCTTAACACCGTCATAACCAAACTTCCCTCCTTCTGCCTCTGTCTGGACTCTCTGCCTCTCCTCCTTCCCCAGCTTTTTGGATAGTCAGTAGCATGGAATGAGCTCGACAGCTTATTCCTTCTCCACATGACCCAGTTTGTGCAGGTAAGGCAGACCGCATGGCACTCCACCTGTTGGAGGCCAGAAAAACCGATTGCGTGGACTAGTGACGTTTCCATTTTGCCCCACTGCAGTCTTGGTGACCGTGACATAAATCTGTTGAGTCTTGCTATTGCTTTGCTGGGTTCCAAGAACATCCAATGCTCGTCTGATGTTAAGTTTTACTGCCCATGAAAGCAAACGTCACCTCCGTCATGGCCAGTTAAACAGTATCTTTTACAGTGGACTTCTGCATATCTGAAAGCCACCCATCCAAAGCCAAAAGCAGTGCCAGAGGTCCAGATCAAGGGTCAACTCAATTCATAAAACTACTGCAGTCACAGATCAGAAGATACAGTGGCTCCTAAATGATTTCTGATATGCACAATTCTAGTGCTTTTTATTCTCAGCATGTGGTGCAAAACCTGCCAGAAACCATCTTTGCAGCTACTGACAGGCAGATTAGAAATCATCCATGATGGCTTCCATCATTTCTCTATAGGCCGGTCATCCATTTAAACTGCTGTTCCCCTCAAAGCCGGCTTTGTAGATGCTGTTGACTTAACATTTTGCCCTTCTCTTGCAGTGCGGTGCTCACCTCGGGCACATTTTTGACGACGGACCTCGTCCAACTGGCAAAAGATACTGCATAAACTCTGCGTCCTTGTCTTTCACACCTGCAGAGATCAGCGACGCCAGTGGGGACAGCGCAGGGGGCAGCCCGGCCCAGGGCGACAAGACAGAGCTGTAGAGGAGTTGATGGAAACAAGTGTACTTAATGCACAGCTTATTAAAACTAATTCGAGAGCGTCTATCTCAGATATATTTTTTCAAAAATAGAAGAGCAATTTTATGCTATTGATATTTTTCTTCCTTTGCTTAAACAGAGGCCCCGGCCATCAATGCATTTTGCTATTGACTAGATCGGGAACTGTTTGTAACTTTAGTGAACCTCAGAGGTAGCTTTGTGAAACTTCTTCACGAGCCACTTACATAGCATTTGGCATTACTTTCTTCGCCTAGATAGCTTCTTTCGATTTTTTTTTTCTCCTTGCTTAATAGGCAGAAGGTGCTTGGTCTTCAGACATGAAAATCAAGATCGCCTCTGCAGTGCGGAGACCAGGGCTCGGTGGGGCAGGGTGTTGAGACCTGTGAGACACACGGCCTGGAGGCATTTGTGCAGATCCACCTAAGATAAGGGTGGAGCGATGTCTTGTGAGACTTCTCAGCTTTGTGGAAAGTTTGGACTGAGGTCCTTTATTCTCCCGAAAAGGGTGTGAAGGTCTAAAGTCTTTCCTTATGTTAAATTGTTGCCAGATCTGAGGGGGCACACTGAGTGTTGTGGCAGAGAAGCAAACATTACCTCATGGTTAGGCCTTTATTTTATTTTTATTTTTCGTTGAAAACATTGGAATGTAAGATAACCGTAAAATGTTGATCCCTGTTTTGTCCAAAATTCACAAAGAAGAGCACCTGCCATTGCCTTCTGTAAGTCTGTCCCTCCACACCTCATACCAGCTGTGGCTGGAAGGGCATTTTGGTGAATTCCCTGTGTAAAGTAAAATACTGGGGACAGCACACTTCATCAAGGCAGCAGAAGTAAGAGAGAGCAGAGAAGGTTGAGGAGGAAGCCTGGATACTAGATGTCCAGTGCTCTGAAGAGCAAGTAAGGAACGGAGCCCAGAGGGGAGGGCAGGGGACCTGTGCACAGGGCAAGGTGACCTCTGGAAGGACATTGGGGCTTAAAATAGAAACAGCCAGGAGCTCACATCCCACCCTTGGCACTAATCTGCTGTGTGACGAGGGACAAGCTGTCTAGCCTCTCCATGCCTATTCTTTATGTATAAACACGACTTAGAATATTTGCAAAATAATTGACACTCTCAGGGGAAAATTACTATATTGCTATACAATGAAGATCAGTGTTGTAAAATTAAACTGATCTGGTTCTAATTGCCTCAAAGGCCGAAGCCCAGGCATTTGAAATGGAAAGAAGCAGAGAGGAGGGTGACTTAGCTGATTGGTATGGAAACAGTTGGGCCAAGAGCCAGAAATTTTTCTCTGTAGCAGTATGGCTGGTTTTACTCTAAGAAGCTCCGCTCAGTTGCCGTATAACATTTAGTCTGGTGGGATGGATGTCCCACCATCCATACAGTGGGATTGTGCACCGTAAGGTTTCTACAGCTCTGAGCGGTGGTGAAAGTATGGTTTATGACTGATATATATTGTGTTTGTCGCCTTGAATGCTAATCCTGAAGTGTAATTTTTAAAAAATAATTTTTTTGTAAATCTTTGATAGCTTATGAATACTGACATCTTTCCTTATAAGCACCAAGACCAAAATAAGGAAGAGGAACACCTGACAATCTTAAAGGAATAATGAGAAACTAAAATGAAAAGTTGTGATCAATCGATGTCAACGTGGTCACGTCCACATCTTTCTGTGTCTCTCAAAACATCTCCTGGTGAGGCTCTTCATTGTCATGTGGGCCACAACTTTGAGATTCCAGATGCACTATGCTCTTCTTCCCTCGGGTCCCAGATGTGTCACCTCAGGCCCTGGGGTCACTCTGGAATTCGCAAGTTTCACTCCCCTCTAGAAGTGAGACGTTGAATTTAAGACCCTTGCAGCCTCGGTGTCCAGACTATCCTAGAAGTCTTTCCCGACCTCACCAAAGGAGTCCCAACATTTCCCAGCGACCCAAGGACCCCTAAAGAAGTGGGTCTCCCAGGACATTCCTGTCCCAGTGTGCGGTCCATCCTTCGGGGGCTCACGTGGCTCCTGCTCTAGGCGGTGGCCTGCTGCGGGGTCTGCTGGACACGAGCTACAGTGTTGGGGTAGACAAGGAAGATAAACGGGGGTTTCTCCCTCTCCCCAGAGACTCTGGATTCTCACTGTTCCTCCAGTTTTATTGTGGGGCTTAACATTCCCCTCAAAAAGCTCCTCTTCTAATGCTTAGTCTTCGTTCAAGGAAAGCCAGTTTTTCTTCTACCACATTTTCCAACATCAACTTTAAGAAAAATGCAACATCCATGGCAGAAAGCAAGTGGGTATATGCATCATGTGGTTGAATTTCAGATTGCTTTTGAGTTTAAGTGGTATCGAATTTCAGTATATTTCTGTCTTATGTTAAAGAAATATATTACTAAAACGTAAGTGAGCAATAATGTCAGCTGTCGAGCACTAGATTTATTTTTGCAGGATATGGAGTGCAATGAACTGAGTCAATATGGCGAGGTGTATGTGATCTGTGGGAGTTATGCCATTTAACATGGGAAACGCATGGGACTTTCCCTCTCTGCACTCCAGCCCTCACTGTGCCATTAGGAGACGCAGGTTTCTTTGCTGGTGTGTAAAAAAGTACGTCCATACACTCATGTGGAATGGATCTGAAGAAAGCAACAGTACGTATTGTATTAGAGAACATTTCTATGTGTTTAAACTTTTCACTTTATAGATGAATTTAAACTCTTAATGTACATGACAGCGATTTGAAAGCCTCTCCATGTTAATTGAATTGAAAATGCCTTGCTTTAAATATGGAATATGATGAAAGGGATTAGCATTTGTCCTGAAGGTCAAATACTACTTTTGCCTTAGATAGCTTTGTAAGAATTTTTCTCCAAGCAATTCAAAACTTTTGAAAAATGACATGGAATTTTCATTATAAACCCTTTTCCTATGTCTATTGTATACAGAAATTATGTAATAAAATCTCTTTATAAAAATGTTTTCCTCTCTGATTCCTAAAGACTTCTCTTATTTTTAGCACAGACGCAGAGACCATCCACTGGAGTTTGCCATAGGCTGCTCTGTTTACCTCCTTACCCAGCTGACGTGTCTGTAGTTTGTACAGAGGGCCTTTTATCTGGTGTGGACTTTATAAGCTGGAGCTCTGACAGTGGGTTTGGTCCGACTCCCCATACCCCAGGCCCCAGGAGAGGCCTCCTGGGATATGAAAGGTTGGAGGGAAGGGAAACATTTACAGAATTACTCTACTTTCACCTCATCTCAGCAGAATCTTCAGCAGCTTGTGTATGTTTTTGTGCTTAAGACATGGACTTTGGCAAGTTGCATCATGATAACGCTATAGGTGAAAATGCAGGAATGATACCATGCTGATGCCTAGGCTTCTGTTAAATAATTTGACAGGAGACATACTGTTGTCAAGGACTCGCCTCTAGGGAAACACATTATGGGTTCGCCATTGCTCACAGATGATTCACCTTTAAATATCTCTAACAGAAGAGTTTCGGTATAGTATTATTTGTTATTGAAATTTTTTAGTTTAATATTTTGGTTCATTTTGTTGATTTGTTTACTTTGGGAGGAGAAATGAGGTGATGAGGACTTTTGTTTTTCAGCCACTTCTTTAAGTCATATTCCTGGGATCCTAAAATTCACAGGCCAGCAACTTCATGTAGTGTACCTTAGAACAGTGCCTTCTCAAAGTGTGGTCCCCAGACGGCGGCATCAGCATCACCTGCAAACTTGCTACAAATATAAGTTTTCTTAAGCTTAATGCATCAGAAATTCTGGGGTAGGGCCTTATCGATTTATGTTTTAGCAGCCCTCTTTGTGATTCTGGTGTTTGTTCAACTTTGAGAACCACTGTCTTGGAACTTTCCGTGAGAAAATTTCAGTTAGCATTAATTCTAAAAGCATTTCTATCTGACCCTCCAAAATGGTTTATTTTGTCATCACTGGTTGTCTTTCTGTAGAAGTGGGTCCGTTTTCCCAAAGCTTCATGCCTCTCAGCTATTCCTGTCCTTCATTGCCCATTTGCCTTGTTCTAGAAGACTTACCTGGTTCTCATCAAGCAGTACCACCTTAGCTCCTGTTTGCATTTATGGGTTGACCTTGGGCTGCCCCGTGGTGCTCGCCATACCCTTCTAGAACTGCAGGATGTCCAAGGCAGGGTTCATCTCAGCAGTTCCAAGAACTAGAGAACATCTCACTGCATAAATTTACATAATGACCTTTCCCATTTCTTTCATTTCCTTATGCATCATCACCATCATCATCAATTTTTTTTAACCTATTAGGAGATTTTTAAAAAGGTGCCATGTATCCAAATCATGACTCTTTTTTGTCAGAAAACTGCCATCGTTACCCAGATCGTAACAATGAAATGACTTCTAGAAGATGCTAGTATTAAAAAAAGCCTTGGGACAGGCTTACAAGCATCCTGTACTGACTTCTTACCAGTGTTTGTTGTGTATTACATAACTGATAGAAATTTAACCATTTTGATTTAGGACCTGAAAAAATGCCACATGCCATAAAAGAATAGTCTAGAAAGAACTCTTCCCATCCAATATCTCCCAGAGGCTAGTCTTGTCCTGGACCAACCTGGAAAGGGATTGGCCAAAGATGATTATAGGTTCTACACCAAGCAGCTCTATAAATCTGTCATGCCAGTAAGGGGTTTTTATGGAACCATGATAGGATAAGGCCATAGTGACCGGAGATTTAGGAACCAAATCAGATCCTCAGGCCTACCTGGGATTTTCGCCAACTTTTAGGTTGGTTACAGAATCACACTATATTGTCAGATTATGGATGCCAGAGAACCTCATTCTTATTTCAAGGTTTTCAATTCCCCTCCCTGCAGTGTCTCCCAGCAAACATACACTCACCCTTATCATCTGGACTGGGCAGGACCCCAACAGATTTTCAGGAATAAAGAGCAGGACAAGCCAATTAGTAATTTTTAAGTACTTAACCTCAGCACTGTACTGACAAGTTAAGGGAGTAGAAAGGTGTAGAAACAACTAGAAAGCAAAGTAAGAGTGTTTTGTGCAGGTCTCAGCCTATCAGTGGTAATGTTATTGGCTGGAAATGCCTGGAGCCACTTACCTGGCCCCTGGTGTGCTTCCCACAGACATCTCCCTTTTCCAAACCAACGTTACCACTGGCCAGACCCTTGTGGTTCTTATTATGGTTGCAAGACGCCGTCAGCAATAATCACCTGGAAACTTTAAAAAGTGTATTACTTACAAGCCCTGGAGCATATCAGGCACACCCCAGGACACACAGTGGGGCT